TATCGATTACCTTTGCCAAGCCAATAAACCGCACTCTGAGGTGTGATAGCGAACACGTAATCCTACGCCTTGAGGGAAAACACTAGCATTCAATGTATTTTACTTCGTGGCACATCTTTAGTTAACAATTAAACAATTTGAGTAAGAACACAATAGAGTGCATCTCTCAATGCAAGCCTCCGATGTTCTTAAATGTTAATGTCACAAGTTGGTGAAAGCGTATATATACTCCTCATTTTAGAAACTGATACCAAACTTTGGACCAAAATCGAATATTAATATGTACGTATCGGGGGGCTTGCGGTGGCTGGCGTGATGTATCTGTCACAGCAAGCCACTGTCAATCCCTTTAATTGCTTGTGTTCCACTCAGTTATGAAGGTCGTATCCGACAATAATGTCATATAGAAGTGCATGAAAAAGAACGAACTCTTTAACAAAACTGAAAGACCGTTATGTACATTATTTATTGATAAAGTATGATGTTATCACAATTTGGAGACCAAAACTCTTAGAAATAATAGAAAACTCAAAGAGTAGTTCTTACCTGTTGGCTTCATAAAATTCACCCTGTTGACCGCTGAAGCGCCTTTAGTACATTTTCACTCATGAACTCATCACATTCTTCCAATAAAATGAGAATATTTATTACGATCATTAACAATTTTTTACATTAAAACATAATTATTTTAGGTTTTGTAGAAATGTGATGATAAAATACATCATAGCATATCTAGCAATTCCAGTTAAAGTGACTTCGCCTCTCTGACGCTCTATTTTCGATTAAAGGAAAAAAAGAATAGATAGATTTGAATAGTTCGCGAGTGTAATTCGAGCGAAAATACGTTTCTGCAGTTCGGGGAGAACCAGCCTTCTGACGCTATCTGAGACCGACAAGTCTCGATCTTCTATGGTAACACGTGTTCTGCATCGCACAGCATCGTTCACATTGTACAGAATTCCAATTCCACAGGAAAACGTTACTAGAGATGTAAATATTTGCAGGCTAGAAATAAATTGTAAAAATGTAAAAACAATTGTTGTGATACTTCATTGTTATCCGCAAATGACAATGGGAGTAACACCAAAACTGAATGTTATTAAAATTCACGAAAAAAGAGAACAAAGAACAAACTAAATATACACGTCAAATGCAACCCTCAACCTCGGAAGGATTTTTTTGACTCTGTACCGTGAAAGAACTCCAAATAGAAGCGTGTCTAGGACATTAAAAACCTAAAATTTGTGGTAAAAAAACTGTCAAAGAAATGTTTTCTCAATTGTAATGTACAGATGAGATCTTGATATTCCATTAAGTTTTTGCTGCGCCGGCGCTCTTGATATTACTTCACGGCTGCTCAGAGACGTGCAAAATCTTGCATCTAAATGTGTAGTGGAGAGACAACGGAGACACACACGCAGACGAAGACAGACTATTGAGACAGGCACAGAGAGAGGGCGGAGAAAATAAGAGAGTTTTATTAAGAAGGGTAGAGACGAAGGAGAGACGAAAGGAAGGGTGGAGAGAGAGAAAGAGTTGAAGAGAGAGAAAGAGTTGGAGAGAGAGAGAAAGGAGAGGGAAGGAGATATAGTGAATGAAGGACAGATCAACTTTGCCGGGTTCCGCCAGTTTAATCATAAAATTGTTTAGGGTATTCTGATCATACATGGAGTCAATTATTTAGTTGTCTTTTAATTATTTCCGCCTCCATTTCCGGCATCACCTCCGTTACCACATCCGCGACCACCATCTCTCCCAAAACCACCGCCGCCACTGCTACTGTCACCGCCTCCGCCACGGACTACTCCACCGTCTCCACATCTATCTGCGTTGGGGTTCCCCCACACAGCACCGTCCCGTCTCCTTCCAACTGCTACCCTACTCCTGCGTTATTTCTTCCCTCGTCATCCTCTCCGTCACTACATCTGCCACCATCTCGCCACCCCCACTGTCACCCACAGTCACCACCGCCATTGGCACAGACACCGACTTCCCCAACGCCTCTTCCACCTCCGTCACAGCAATCAGCACCGCTGCGTCCCATGTCCTCCCAACTGCGTTCTTCCTCCTACTCCTCCATCTCCGCCATGTCTCCACGTCCAACTTTGCGATAGGCACTACCACTAACCCCACCACCAAAACCACCGTCACCATCACTATCACCGCCTCCGCCCCGCCCTCTTAAACGCCTAAACTTCTGATTTCGTCTTCCCTACCATTTTCACTTCAGCCCCTACCTCCATTTTAGAACTCTTTGAGCGACCCGCCTCTGCTTTAATCCCCTTCTTTGCTTCCGTTCGAATCCTCCTCAACTCTCAGTTTATCTCCGTCGCGCCCTAAGCCCCTGCCTCCTCTTCTCTTCCCCTCTCCTCTCCGACCTCCCTTCTCCACTCGACTCGCACCGAGCTGAAACATCCTTCTCCAGCTTTGTATGCGCCATCGCCTCTGCCATCACCCACACTTCCAAATCCACCTCCATTGCTTCCGCCTTTAACTCTTCCTGCTCTCCTTCGCTCGTGAAACACACATCATTTATCAACTTCACTAGAATTTTCATCCTCTGAGCTCTTACCTCCACTCTTTCCTCCCCTCGTGCTTTGTTGCCGCCTCTTCCCAACTCCGCCCCCGGCCTCGCCCACGCTCCCACCATCACCCTTGCAGTCTCCTTCGCGCTCGCTCTCGCACCCACCGCCCTCGCCCTCGCCCTCGCTCTCTCCCTCGCACTAGCCCAACACTAGCACTTGCACTCGCACTCGCACTCGCACTCGCGCCCTCCGCACACCTCCTCCTTGTCATCGCCTTCCTCTTAGCTCCTATGATCAGCCATTTCTGTTTCTGACATTTACCTTTTAACTCATTACCTCGTCTCTCACTCTGCTCCTTCCTGACCTTCTCAATAGCTCATCCTTCCCCGTCTCCAATGTTGAAATCATCGTCCATTTCACCTTACAATTGTATTCTTTTTCTTCTTGATTCATCTTAGGCTGGCCCACCATTGCTTCCACTGCCACTTCCACTGCCAGAATTTCTGTGAAGGTTCCATACCGCCACCTTGATCACTTTTCGTTGTCTTCTCTGACATCAACATTTTCATCCAAAAATTTATTTTCCTCTACGCTCGATATGTTCACTTCAATCATCACCACTCCTTAACTTCTGCTTTCATCTCTTTCATATTTTTGCCTCTATTCTTTACTCTGAGAGTTTACAATTTACTTTTCTCCCATTTACTCTGTATCCTCATGCGGCACGCACATTACAATCGCTTGCAATCCCACGCTTTTCAAAATACCACATTTTGCTTCACCCTCTCTCTCTCTTTCTTTCTCTCTCTTTCTCTCTCTTTCTCTCCTCTACATCTTTCTTTCCTTCCTGCTCGCCTCTTTCCTTTCTGCATTCTTCTCTTTCTTCCTCTCTTTCAACTACCACCCCCAGTGTTCTGATTTTGGAACCTCTTCGCTTCATTCGCCCAAATCATTACTTCATCCACCCCCACTCCGTCCCATTCATATGAGCCTCTCCTGCCGCGGCGACCTTCCACGCTTCCCCCACGCCATTCTCCTCCTTCCTCGCCTCCTTTCACAGCGACTGCTTCCGCCTTGCAGTTCCTAAAGCTTCGCGTCCCGCGCTTCCCCCCTTCCTCCTTCCTGCGCGGCTCGGGGAATCCCCCGCGCCGCGATCTCTGATGTTTTATTGATTCACAGCGCGCTCTCGTGTGCGCATCGGCCACTGTCCCTCGGATGCACGTGACGCCCCACTGCTGAATCCCAGGGTTTGCCGATTCCCTCGATCTGGGGAATTCTGATTTCATTTAGAGATGCGGAGGTGTTTTATAAAATATTTTTCCCTTAATCCTCTTATCTGTTTCTCTTCCCTGCCGACGTATCGTGAATAAATAAACCGATATATGAAAGCGAGTCGTAATATCCCTTACCCGTTAAGAACATCAAAGAGAGAATGTAGGGATGAAAAGCCTAGCCTGTATTGTACGATAAACAAATATCCTGTTTGGTTGTGAATGCACGTCAGTATATAAAAGTCTAATTCTACTTGCCTTCACTATATAGTTTTATTAACGTTTTAGTACGACCTTTCAGATACAAATTATCTGTTGGTATGAGTTGCACCTGATATTCAATACAGATATTCAAAATGTTACCAATTAGGTCCCAGTTCTTAAACATTTAAATTTATAACTAACGGAAATGATATCTCTTTATTAAGTGTTTAATTACTCACTGCAAACCATATTATATACACGTATATCATGCATTAAATCCTGCACAACAGAACGTAATACCTGACTTAATAAATTAAGACAATCGTGTACATGTTTGAAGGGATAGTGTTGTTTTCAAAATATGGTTTGCAATGAGTAATAAAATACAGTTTGCAGTGAGTTACTAACAGTTTCGAAGCTGGAAAAGGTTGGATATTTGTTCGATAGCATCCAAAATAATTTGAAATATATTTATTCAAAACATTTATATGCTGATTACATATATTTCAAATATAAGTACTACGATTTAAAGTTTCAAATCATTAATGACCAATCAAATTATAAATACGAAAACCCATAATTTTGGAATTTTCTAATTCCACTGAAAACACATGAAGAGTATCAAGACTCATTTGAGTGTACCTTCAAATACTTCTCATGCCTTGGTTCGGCCATTCCGCCCTAGCGCAGTGTTTGAGTAGCGACAAGAGGGGCGTATCCCCTCTCGGTAGGAGTAGATGGCGTAGGCAAACGGCGCTAAGCTTCCCGTTTGAATTGCTTTTAATTAAAATTAGATGAGTTCCTAGAGCGAGAGGCCCCGGGAGGCACCGAGCTCACCCTCTCCCTACACTCTCTCCCTCCCCCCTCCCCCCCTCATCACGAAGCTTTGCCGTAGGGGAATCCCCGTGCTTGCTTTAGACGCGTCCGGTGCACGTGAGAGCGTTGCGGAAATGCTTAAAAGCAACGCGAACCGATTATTCATGAGGGCCGAAAATCTTTTTCGTCCGTTGTGTATTTTGTTCCCAGTCTTTTAGCTCGGAGATAATCGTTTCTCTCATTATACTTCTGATAACTCTCTCATATGTATTGCTTAATCTAGTTCTTCTCTCATCTTTCGCTTTGCTCTATTTCTTTAGCATTGTTTCCATCTACTTCTTTCTTGTTCATTATTTATTTCCCAATTCCCGTCGTTTTAGCTCTGAGATAATTATTCCTTTCATTATTCTTCTGATATCCCTTACATCTATTCTGCTTAATATCGTTCTCTTCTCATCATTCGCCTTGATCTGTCTCATTTACATTGATTTTCTTTGCAGTTCCTTGTTATTACCTTTCCCAACTTTCTTTAGCTTTCATTTTTTTTTACTTAAGGTTTCTTTATTCGTGCCAAACTAACCCATTGCTTCTCTTTATCCTCCTCATCTTCAATACTGACAAATGGCTATTTGATTTGTGATGATTTAGGGAGCTGTACGTATTTCCTTGAAAATTTAATTTCCAGAATTACCTTTGGCTGCTATAGACACTTCATTAAAAATGCAGACTGATATTAAGGACGTTAACGACAATTGGGACGCTGCGATCAATTAATCTTCGTTACTCGTTATTAGGTACAAGCGTCTTCGCAACTACGTGTATAACTGAAATACATCAAAGCAACGTAGCCAGGAAGAAGCATAAATTACTTTTGGAAGTTGATTTTAATGTGAACAAAATCTACTTGTAGAAAGGTAAGTACAAAGTAGAAGTTTAAGCAATTAGCCAATTTATTTTCTACCTCTCACTTCTCTACTATTGCGTTTATACTTAAAGGATAACGTACAAATTTTTTCATGGAATCTCCTTCCTAATTTTCATAGGATGGTGAAAATTTCTTTAAGTTCCCATTTTTCAAATCTAGTGTAGTTTAATTAAAAATTAAATGGTTAATTATTGTTGAAAATTGTTAATTAAAAATTGTAGATAAACAGTTCTTTCCTCAAAGTTCCAGTATTACTCATTACTCAACCACAATACACGAATAAAAACTCATGAAAATTCAAATTTTCACAACTTCTAGATAATGTATCTCAACGAAATGTCTGGTAAAACTGTATTCCGTCTCCCGCCGCTGTGGACATCCTAATCTTGTGGCAGCCACCGCATCAAATGAATGCATTAGACGTGTGATTAATTACGATGGTCGCCCATATTTACGTTTTTTTGTTGTTACGTGATCTTTCTCCTTGTCTAGCTTTCAAATGCTTATGAGTACGTATTAATAAATTTCTTCGTTATACTGATGCTATAAAAATGTTAAACGGTTCAATACACTAACTTCTGCGCACGAAAATAATGCAAGTTTAAAGTAATAATCTACTTTAATGACCGTAAGACTCCACTTCGTTGCAAAAGTTCAGGCTTCAAACCTGACTGCTGCGTTATGCAATTCGCCTACAATACGATAGGGGATGCTTGCCCGCAAAACAGGAAAGTACTGGGTGTTGCGTCAAGCCACGTTAACAAGGGGCCTGGCGCTCGAGGAAAGTTGGAGTGCTGGTGACGGCTATGTCTCCGGCGCCGTCAGTGTCGAACCGTCAAGCAGGCAGCGAGCGTCGCCAAAGGAAGCGGAGATAAGGAGCCATCGATCCGTGTGGACGGCGTCTCTCGTGGACGCAGGAAGCTTCCGTCGCCCCATGCCGCGCCGTCGATTGCTCATAACTCGCGCCGCCAGCGACGTCCTTCCTTTCTGTTTCGATGAGAACTCTGCGCCGTTCGCGTCGCTGGCAGACGATGGCGAGATTCGTTACTTCTGAAAAGTTTGGCCCACAAATGGAAATGAAGTGAAGGTTTACATGTTCATGTATTCCTTAGCTGTCAGTATTCCTTGCTTCTCAAAGTACACCTCCACAAATATTACTCAAACTCTCTCAAAGTAGTATCATAATAGTCCCTCGATATTACCACAAAAGATTTCAAAGAAGCATTGGAAAATTGGGTATATGCATCGCTATTTACTTCCATCTAACATCTTGTAAGTTTTTTGTTTTTTTCTTTTTTTATGAAGAGTTAACCTTTTTTTCTAAATTCGAAAAATAATACAAGATTTTCCAAGATTTATAATATTCTCTTTAACCAAAGATATCCTAAAAGAAAGTAATCAGAGTGATTGTGACAAAACAAAGTAATGAAAAAATAGGTAAAATGGTTTCATTGAAATTATTTAGACTCTCATAATCTAAAATGATGTCACAGATGAGCAATTTTCCGACACTATCAATTATTTATTTTCAGTGACGTATGTTGGTATATTTTTTATAATTTATAAAGGAATGTAATTCAAATTGATTTGGTATACATTTAATGACTTGAGTTCAAATGTTTACTGCTGTTGAATGACTTGTATTTAAATATTGCTTACTGATTTTCTTACTGTTTCTTAGCAGTTTTGGATTATAAATTTTCAAATATGGTGAAAAATCATACGAACTGTTACGCATCTAGTTATATATATTATATATAATATATATATAGTATATATATATATATATATATATATATATATATATATTCTAACATACCCACTACACCCACACACAACTTACCAACCTTCACCAGTAGCAGGCATAACCCGTAAGCGGGTTATGAAGATTTGGCTCGTGGAAGCGAGCTTAAAATCTAGGGAGCGGATCTTCAGCGGTGCGAGAAAGGTTTGAACCCTTCGACACAAATAAAATCACACAGATTGCACCACAAACGAGCGTATAATTTTACCATAAATATTTTAGTGGCATAATGTTAATGACAAAAAAAGAATATAGAATCGCACTTCTTACAAAGAATAATCAAAACACAAATAGAAACCTTTACACACAGACTCCATGTGCAATGAACACATGATTTACTTCCAAAATTGGATTACTCGACATAATTACCCTAACCACACTGGGAAATTCCCTTGAAAATTAATTATATCTAAATTTGTGCTATTTCTAATTTACATTGCTGCGAAATTCAAAATTCAATTTAGCAATCTCTCGCTTCAAGATATTACATGTAAAGAACGAAATGTGTGCAAGTGCACTACCTGCTAATTCACAATTTAACTGTTGTTCTGAAAACTAGCGAAATAATAAATGTACTAAGTAGAATGTTTTTAGGCAGACATAGCCGCATCAAAAACCGTCTCCTTCTAGAATACTGTGATTATGTTGCCACCCGTTGTTCCTCAAATTCTTTAACACTTTCCTATACTAGTTTCCCCGCCGACTGAACTTGACCTAATTTTCTGCGATCCTAACTTGTACGCTTGTGGAACTTTTGGCCTTGATGGTCGTTGCGCTGGTCGCTGCGTTGACCGCCGTTTCGGCTCGCGCTCTGCGTCGTAAGAGAGACGGGAATTCGCCTCTGCGTTTGCGTTGCTTCTTGCGTCCTCTCCGTTCTTCCTCCCAACCATTCCGCTCTTCTCACGCTGGCGCGCCAAGCACTCCCCCCCCCCCCCCCCCCCCCCCCCCGCCTCCTCCGCCCCCCCCCGGCCTCCTTCTTCTTCCTCGTCTGCTATCCGGCGCCTCTGACTACGCCCACGTTGCGAAAATGTCCTTGCATTTCACTGAAATACTCGTGGCAAGCTCCTCTGCGTCGTATGCTTACTTCTACTTTTACAAGCCTAGACTTTTTAATTTTGTTTCCTTCCACAACGGGTTAATTTTTACTTCCCGTTGTGTTAATATGAAGAAACACTACTTAATCTGCACTATCTCGCGGACGAACTAGCTTAAACGTCTGTTTCGACGCCGAATACTCCTACCTAGTAGTGCGTGTCGCAGCGGCAAACAATATCTAAACTAATGTTTAACGAAAGTGTTGACTCGGCGAACGGTGATCAAAAGAGCGAGGTGCTTACTCGGCACGTGGTGGCAAGAAAAGAGAGCTTCCCGCTTGCGGTTCGCGTATTTATGGCGCGCGCCTGGGGAAATTTTTCAGTGGAAGGGCGGCTACTTACCCCTTCCTAACCCTTCACAAAGAAACATAGCTCGCTACGTCGCATTCGTTTAGTACACGGGCAACGGATACCAGGCCGCGCGTTTTAGTACTCTGCCTTACGCGTTTGTTATTCCTCGCTGCCTCCGTAGTGTTCACACAATGGAGACAGTGGTGGTTTATGGGTCGCGCATCCCATAACGCCCACAAATATATATATAGAAGTATAGTATAATATATATACTAATATAAATATATATATATATATTATTATATATATCAGGAGAGATAGCTTAGTCCACTAACTGATTGTCAAGCTGTACTTGTCCGGGAGGTCTTATGTTCGAGTCCCGACAGTTGGCAAAGGTTTTTTGAACAATAGCTTGATCAGAGTAGTCGCATTCAGGTCACGGTCCTGGAGGGAGAATCTAGCGGTCCGCTGCTCTGATAGGTTATTGTTCTGTGATTTCTCCAATGTCAACACAGGGAGAATGCGGAGCAGTACCTTACCAAACATGCCAAGACCGCACGCTATTTTTCCTCCTGCATCCTTGTTCTATCCTCACCCCTTCACACAGCACTACACATGCACTGTCGACTACCACACATGGCCAGGGAGATCCGTCGAGATCCTAGAGCTTGTCGCCCGCCTGTGGCCGGCTTGCCCCAACTGGTAGGAGATTACCCTCTGGGGTGGAGGAAAGGACCCCTATAGCTGAAGGTAGGTCGGCGCCGGATCTCACCATCCTGCGGCGGGAAATATCACGTCCACCTTCTAGCGAGAAAATCGTAGTGCAGTACAACTTACAGGACAATGCCTCGTAGATGACGTGCCCTAAACACAACAACCAACATTAGATCATAGATTTTAGACATAGGGAAGTTAGTATGATGAACACAATCAAGAGAAAAATAAATAATACGAATTGAAAATTGAAAGAGGAATGTTTATTAAGGTACTTAATGCAGATAGTAGCCAGGAAAAAGAAGAAAGCGGTTTTGCTTTAGGTAAGCCCACACATACAAACACGGTAATCCTTCTTGTGAATCCGCTGTGATAAAGTAAACGATGTTAATTACCCTTATATGGGTGCACTTAAAAGAAAATATCTTAAAAAAATGTGTCTCGATTTATCTTTTTAAAGCTACTTTCAAACACTTGAATGAAATCAAAATAATTCCACTAAAGCGCATAAAACTATATTCAAGAGAATATACATAAACGTTCTCATTCAAATTTCTAGTTCCTAAATTCAGAGGTAATTTTTGTCCATATTTTTGATTGGTCTCCATTCAATTGATTTTATTCAATGTAACCAGCCACCAGAAAACCCAGACTTTCTAATTCACTGATTACACAAATACTAATTTCTTACACAATTTCTGTAGTAATCTGTCCAGCGGGTACATTGTATCTTCAATTATTGTGCATCAAGACTATCTGATAAGCACGCTAAGGCAACATGATAGCAAAACTTATACCCACGGCAGCGTATCCAGTCCGACTCTGCATGCTTCGATTTTCCCGGCGCGGGCAGGTGGCAATTATGAAGTCCGTGCCTCCCGTTGACGGTTACAAGGCAAAGTTGTTTTGGTAGCTCGACGAAGTTTTACAACTCAGCCCAACGAAAACTTGCGCGCTCACGATTGTTTTTATTGCCGAGTTTTGTGAATGCGAGATTCGCGCAGCAGCGGAAGACGAAAACTTCCCCGGCACCGTCGCGTAACTAAGCGATTCCCGAGCGATTACAATTAAGCGCGGTGTCAGTGCGAGTTGCGTAATCGAGTTGTGAGCAGCTGATTCTTACATTAATTCCGATTGTAACCAAATTTCCGTCTGTCGCCGGCGCGGCACGGGAGCGGTCGGGCGGGGGCGAGGCGGGGAGCGGGGAGGAGCAGATTCGCGGAGATCGGTTCGTCCCCGAGGGGCGGGAAGAAAGCGCGAGTGGCGCAATCGGGAGGTATAACTTATGCCGTACGCCGCGTGATTCATATCCGCTCTGGTTGATAAAGCGGGGAGCTACAAGGCTTTCTTTCATTAGCGTTTTTTCGCGGTGTGCCGCGAGAAGGAGCGGATCTGGGGTTAAGCGATGGTTGTTACAGAGCGGGGAGGAGTAAGGGGGTGCAATGGATACCAACAGGGCTAATGAGCAGGAGGCGCGTGCGGAACCCCGCTATTGGTAGGGGAGATCAAGCCAGGTAATGGGCGTAAGTGGTGTGGATCTGCAGGGGGCTGGGGTGAGGAGTGCGGGCGTGGCGAGGGGAGCGGGTGGGGAGGAAAGGTGAGGAGCGAGGCAAGTTTGGAAGGGAACGGCGAGCCTGGAATAAGGAGTGTGCCGTGCCGGTGCAGGTGTGGGATGCAGCCGGAAAAAAACAGGAACAGTGCGTGGGGTTAGAGCTGGGTGATGTGCGGGTCGCGAGTGGACTGGGGTGATGGGCGGGGCAAGAGCGAACTGTTGTGCCGAAAGGGCGGACCGCGGGTGCGGTAGAGCTTGGGAGAGGAAAGGAGCGGGGCATGGCGGGTCGGAGCTGGGCAGTGAGGCTGTGCCGGGATGGTGAGACGTGGGGAGGGCCGGAGCGGAGGTGAACCTTGGGGCTGAAGGGCGAAACCAGGCGGAGGCACGGTCTAACTGGGAGGTGCAGAACGAGCAGAGCGCGGTGAGGCACGGAGAGGGAGAGATGCTCCGGAGGAAGCTCGGCTCTATGGAAACCGACGCTCCTCTCATTCGTTTTTACGCTCAACGTCTATCTCCGCAGCGCCCTGCTTCGTCGCGTTCCTGTCGCCCCTCTTTCCCGGTCCTCCGCGGAGACCGCCCCGCCAGGAAGGAGAGAGGCCGAGCGGGAAGCAAAAAAACGGGGGCGGGCGATATTTTAGGCCCGGGCAGCAATTTCCTTCGGCGTCGCCCGGCAGCCGCCTTGGCGCCGACGGCAGCGCGCCCCGCGGCCGTCGCGCGCACTACGGAAGCTCGGCAGCATGGCGGCGATAAATCTTGGTAAATTATAACGAAAGAGACCGCCGGCTGGTTAGCGGGAGTGAGCGAGTCAGTCTTGAGCCATTAACTGGAGATTCTTCTGCGCGCGAGGAGAAGGGAG